CAGTTGTCGAGCTCTAACCAACTGAGCTACAGAGAGATAGTTGTCGAGCTCTAACCAACTGAGCTACAGAGAGACAGTTGTCGAGCTCTAACCAACTGAGCTACAGAGAGACAGTTGTCGAGCTCTAACCAACTGAGCTACAGAGACCAGTTGTCGAGCTCTAACCAACTGAGCTACAGAAGACAGTTGTCGAGCTCTAACCAACTGAGCCACAGAGAGACAGTTGTCGAGCTCTAACCAACTGAGCTACAGAGAGACAGTTGTCGAGCTCTAACCAACTGAGCTATAGAGAGACAGTTGTCGAGCTCTAACCAACTGAGCTATAGAGAGACAGTTGTCGAGATCTAACCAACTGAGCTACAGAGATACAGTTGTCGAGCTCTAACCAACTGAGCTACAGAGAGACAGTTGTCAAGCTCTAACCAACTGAGCTACAGAGAGACAGTTGTCGAGCTCTAACCAACTGAGCTACAGAGAGACAGTTGTCAAGCTCTAACCAACTGAGCTACAGAGAGACAGTTGTCGAGCTCTAACCAACTGAGCTACAGAGAGACAGTTGTCAAGCTCTAACCAACTGAGTTACAGAGAGACAGTTGTCAAGCTCTAACCAACTGAGTTACAGACAGACAGTTGTCAAGCTCTAACCAACTGAGTTACAGACAGACTGTTGTCGAGCTCTAACCAACTGAGCTACAGAGAGATAGTTGTCGAGCTCTAACCAACTGAGCTACAGAGAGACAGTTGTCGAGCTCTAACCAACTGAGCTACAGAGAGACAGTTGTCGAGCTCTAACCAACTGAGCTACAGAGAGACAGTTGTCGAGCTCTAACCAACTGAGCTACAGAGAGACAGTTGTCGAGCTCTAACCAACTGAGCTACAGAGAGACAGTTGTCGAGCTCTAACCAACTGAGCTACAGAGAGACAGTTGTCGAGCTCTAACCAACTGAGCTACAGAGAGACAGTTGTCGAGCTCTAACCAACTGAGCTACAGAGAGACAGTTGTCGAGCTCTAACCAACTGAGCTACAGAGAGACAGTTGTCGAGCTCTAACCAACTGAGCTACAGAGACACAGTTGTCGAGCTCTAACCAACTGAGCTACAGAGAGACAGTTGTCGAGCTCTAACCAACTGAGCTACAGAGAGACAGTTGTCGAGCTCTAACCAACTGAGCTACAGAGAAACAGTTGACGAGCTCTAACCACAAGTTCATGTATAAATACTAAGGTGATGCCAATGTACAGGGTGTCTAAAAAAGTGAACCTTTAGAAATTCACCTTATTGTTTACCATTTGAATGCCCGAATCCTATTCTGAACCCATGTGTGTGTAAACACAATTGAATCGAATTCTATGCATGGTATCGTTCAACATATATGAGCCGATTATTTAACACAGCACGTAAAACAGTAAACACTCTTTGTTCTGTAGTCAGTTGAACCATTTTTAATCAAACTGACGGGACTAATTTCCAAGTCGTTTTGGGTACTTTACAGTTTACCATACCCGTGTACTGCAAGTATTTGATGGCATGTGTTCTGATGGCGAGTTTCCCCGTTCTTTTATGGCGTGTTTTGATTGCGTGTTTTGATGGTGTATTCAGTGATTTACTGTTTTAAGTGTAAAATTTCCCAAGAGGTAATGAAGTTTGGGTGTTTACAGCAAAAGGGTGATTTCTAAAAGGTTCGCTTTTCTTTTAGTCTTTTAGACATCCTGTGTCCGGGACACAGGATGTCTAAAAGACTAACAGTCCCCTGTACAGTATAATGGGTAAATATATCAGGATTTGGGGCATCTCACCCGATGTAACTAACACAGCAACTGCTCCTGGTTAGGTTTATTAATAAATGTACAAATCCATCTACAAATCCCATAAACATGGATTAGCCAACCAGCTATAATTTGAAGCAAAAATTTCCACTCCTTTCCCAAACACATGGGCGATTTTCTCAATACCTTCCGGCTGCAGAAACAGTCTTCCAATCTCTCCGTATTGTGCAAATATATATCTAACTTTAGCCGGTTTCATAAATGGCGGAAGACGGCTAAAATATATAATTCCAGGCCTTAATTTGTCGCTGTTTTCAGCTTCCCCTGCCGCCATTTTGTTTATGTGCTGCCGTCTTGTTGTTGACTTGTTGTTTTAACGCTTGCCAACCCCCCTGGAATATCAATGTTTGCCCGAATGAGAAACAGAAATTCCTTGCTTGTCAGGGGGGTGAAAATTAAATCTGACAACACACGTGGTCGAAAATGGCTGATCAAGGTAACAAATTTTAATTTTTTTAAATGTTTCATTTTATGAAATCTAGCAAAATGTTTGTTCTAAGTTTCTAGCAGAATGAAGTAGGCTAGTGTAGATCTATGTTTGTTGTATACAAGCGGGGATTGTAAAAAATCTGAGGTTTAATTTATGTAAACAAATGACTGTATATTGACTGTATTTAAAACATAAATCACAATATGTATATAATTTTATATATTGAAGTTGAAGCACAATGCAATGTGAATATGCACAGCCAGTGTATGGCTTGAAGACCTAAAAGTTGTATTCACAGGCTACAGTTAGATTTGTACCCAAACAGGCTGTCTGGTGTTTGAACTATTTTGAAGATTTTATCAACTTGGTTAATGACTGTTAGTATAATTATATAGGTGATTATTGAAAATTCTCCACGCTGATTGGTTGCCGTTGAGGTGATTATTACGCGATAATCACCTAAGTCATTTTCAAAATGGCGGCCGAAGCCGTTTTGTCAATTAAATGACGAAGAAACATTGTATTCTTTATTTTTTTCTAAATAACCACCTATGAAATTATACTAAAACAATTATTCACCTCAGGCTCGGTGATTATCGTGAATAAAAACCTCGACTTCATCTCGGTTTTTATTCACCGATAATCACCTCGCCTTCGGTGAATAATTGTTAATTAATCATTGAAAATCTGTGCTCCTCTGTGACCGAGGAAATGGGCATAATGTCTCATAATGTTTGAAAGTGTCATTTGTCTGATTTATACAGGAGCTAGTCTTGTGTCTGACAGATCGCCAGTTTAACTGATATCACAAGTTTACCATTGACCTATCCAGGTGAACCGGCTGATCTATACTCGTCTGCCAATGTTTTTGGGTACAAATCATGCTGATTATTTTCCTAATAATAGGCAGATCGCTCTGAGAAATTTGCAAGCGACGTGAACACAGTTGCAAGTCTTTGATTGGCTATAAGAAAAAGGGAAGCTTCAATCCAGTTGCTCAGACTATCTGATTGGCTTCCTTTTTACTAATAGTCCAATCCGAGGCTTTTTTACAAATCTTTTGTGAACTTCAAATTGAAACTGTGTTTGCATCGCTTGCAAATTGCTCAGAGCAATCTGCCTATCAAAATTGCAATATTGTGGGTTGGAATGTTGGTGATAAGGGGAAAAATGGATAATTGGAATCTTGCTTGCAAGAGAACACCCGGTTTGACTGTAAAGTGTTTATTTTTCCCATTTTAACACACATACAGACAAAATGGATGTTGGTGATGAGGGGAAAAATGAGGAAAGTAATGAAATGGATGATGACAATGCTGCGGAAACTTTGGGTAATAAAAACAGTTTCTTAATTCTTGCTGACATGCCCGCTTTTCCAGAAAAATGTACCTTATTAAATTAACATGCCCAACACTTTAATTTTCAGGCAGTTCATCCACAGCCGTGTCGTCCTCGGGTAACGCGACTGGAAAATCCAAAAAGAAAAAGAAAAAAAAGAAAAAGAAAAAATCACAAAAGGAAAATGGAGAGACGAGCAAAGAGAACAATGAGGAAATGAACCTTGGTGGTGAAGATGAAACATCAGAACCTCAGGTAGAGTAATATGAACAGGGTTTGTAGCGGTCTTTGAAATCCTTGAAAGTCTTTAAATTGGAATGCAGGTCTTTGAGGTCTTTGAAAAGTCTTTAAATTGTGTGAAAAAGCGAAGAAAGTCTTTAAAAGTCTTTAAATTCTTTGGTGAGGAATTGATTATACAATTTCCTAGCTAATAAAAAAGATTGATTGAAGCAACATTTTCGCAAATATCGACGAAAATGCGCATTTTAGGATGTGATTTGACGGGACTAATACTGGGTAAAAATGGTGCTTTCACTCACAATTTTTCGACAGCTGATTGCTCTCAAAGGTCTTTGAAAAGTCTTTGAAAATAGGCAGAAAAAATCTTTGAAAGTCTTTGAATTTCTTTGGTCTTGGAGACTACGAACCCTGTATGAAACTCACAGGGCTGAATGAATGGTAGGTAGGTAGGCATTTTATATTGGCACCATTTGCTTAAATGTTTTGCTTGTTTATACTTGCAAATTACATGTACTTTGATGTAATTAGTGCATTTTTCCACATAGTACTATCGGCAAACAATTGAATTAATGCTTTATATTATTAGTATATTACATGTATGCTTTATTTGTTCAGTGAAAATGCTCAGGTGCATGAAGAATTCAATTTTGGTGGGTAATTGAGGTTCTCAGCTCACTAATACCACATCCATTAACAGACAAACCGCAACCATAACAATTAAATAATTATTATTAACCCATTAAGCTGCAGAGCTTCCCCATTGACAAGTAAAATAATCGGACTCAAAATGAAGGAGCCTTATGCTTTTTTGGAAGAGCATCGTCCCCTAACAACGACAAGAACAACAAGAAGAAGATTAGCAGCGATTGGGCACCAGTTCTTGGTCCAAAAATGCAATGGCATTTCAAGCTACTGTAGCCCAAGATAATTCTGGCTTGAATTTCTACAATACAACTGTTTATTTTTTGTCAAGGTTTATCTCCCAGGCGGCCCAATGGAAGAGGGAGAGGAGTTGACATTCGATAGTTCAGCATATAAAATTTATCATCAGGTATGTATGCACTGAATGCAGGGACACCGGAAAGTCGATAATGGGGCAGATATTCATATATTCATGTTCTGCATAATTTATTTCCTTTGAAAGCGATTGTTTTTGCAGTCTGTGAACACAAATATATGAATATCAGCCCACCCAATTATCGACTTTCCGACGTCCCTGACTGAATGGCATTACCCCTGCTTTTGTACAAGCTTACAGCATTGTCAACATTGATTTTCTTGTTTCTGAAGGTTCAGTGTGGAGCTCCATGTTTAAGTTTTGATATCATTTCTGACAACTTGGGAGATGACAGAGCTGAAGTATGTTCAGTATATATTAGGGATTTATAATGTTTTATATGTTGTGTTAATAAAAAGAAGTGTTGAATATAGATGCTTTCTTATGTTTCAGTTTCCAATGACGATGTATCTTGCCACTGGCACGCAGTCTGCAAGTGGAAAACAGAATTTTTTAATTGTCATGAAAATGTCTGAACTGCAGGAAATGGAAGAAGAACACAGTAAGATGTCTAAGACACCAACTTCATTAGGTACCACCATCATCACCATCATTGTCATCATCACCATCATCCCTGTCATCACCATAATTATCACTGGTCATCATCATCACCATCATCTTCACCATCATCATCGCTGTCATCACCCTAATTATCACCATCATCATTATCATCAATGCCATCACCATAATCACCATCATCACTGTAATTACCATTATCACTGTCATCATCATAATTACCATCATCATCACCACCATCATCACCACCATCTTCACCACCACAAACATCACCACCACCATCATCACCACCACCACCATCCCTGTCATTACCATAATTATCTTCATCATCATCTCTGTCATCACCATCATCATCATCCCTGTCATCACCATAATTATCTTCATCACCACCACCATCATCATCCCTGTCATCACCATCATCATCATCCATAATTATTTCATCATCATCTCTGTCATCACCATCATCATCATCCCTGTCATCACCATAATTATCATCACCAACATCATCACCATCATCATCATAATTATCTTCATCATCATCTCTGTCATCATCATCATCCCGGTCATCACCATAATTATCTACATCATCATCTCTGTCTTCACCATTATCATCATCCCTCTCATCACCATAATTATCTTCATCATCATCTCTGTCTTCACCATCATCATCATCCCTGTTATCACCATAATTATCTTCATCATCATCTCTGTCTTCACCATCATCATCATCCCTGTCATCACCATAATTATCATCATCATCACCAACATCATCACCATCATCATCATAATTATCTTCATCATCATCTCTGTCATCATCATCATCCCTGTCATCACCATAATTATCTTCATCATCATCTCTGTCTTCACCATCATCATCGTCCCTCTCATCACCATAATTATCTTCATCATCATCTCTGTCTTCACCATCATCATCCCTGTCATCACCGTAATTATCTTCATTATCATCTCTGTCTTCATCATCATCCCTGTCATCACCATAATTATCATCATCATCATCACCAACATCATCACCATCATCATCATAATTATCTTCATCATCATCTCTGTCATCACCATCATCATCATCCCTCTCATCACCATAATCTTCATCATCATCTCTGTCATCACCATCATCATCATCCCTGTCATCACCGTAATTATTTTCATCATCATCTCTGTCTTCACCATCATCATCATCCCTGTCATCACCATAATTATCTTCATCATCATCTCTGTCTTCACCATCATCATCATCCCTGTCATCACCATAATTATCATCGTCATCACCAACATCATCACCATAATCATCATCCCTGTCATCACCATAATTATCTTCATCATCATCTCCGTCATCATCATCATTATCATCATCATTATCACCATCATCACCACAATTACCATCATCACCATAATTACCATCATCACCACCATCATTACCACCATCATGATCACCACCATCTTCACCATCATCATCACCATCACCATCATCTTCTTCTTCACTGTCATTACCATAATCTCTATCAGTACCATCATCATCACCATCACTACCTCCGGTATCTTTGGTTATTTGTATAGTGGCAGACTTTACTCATCAAGAGATTGTTATGTTAAGGTGATGATGAAGGTGTTATTGATGATGAACCAGAGTTGACAATGGAACAGATTAAACATAATGGAGCTGTGAACCGAATTCGAGTATGTATTTGTTAGTGTGTTTGTCTTCTTCACTGTCAGTCGTCTAATATTGAAAACCACGATTTAAAGTCTGAGCTCTGAACAAATGAATAAGTCATCTGATTTATACTGAAGACAGATCATATTTCAAAACACATGAGACGGGTCATCCATCTCAGTGTAAACACAAGACGCTAGAACAGCATGATCTATACTGGTAATGGTTCTGGGAACAAATCATGATTGATATTTTCCTGATAGTTCGTCTAATGTGGTATTTATATACATAGACAGATCTTCAGTCTCAGTGTAAACACAAGATAAACTATTCAGATGAACTAGTTAGAATACCATGATCTATACTGCAATATTACCAGTATTAATGGTTTTAACCATTAATACCAGTATTAATGGTTTTGGGAACAAATTATGTCTGATATTTTCCTGATAGTTAGTCTAATGTCGTATTTATACAGACGTAGACTGATCATCTGTTAAGATTCACTATACGTACAGTACAACACTTCGTTTGTGCCGATGAACCCAGGGTTCGTACAAAACTTGAAAATCCTTGAAAGTCCTTGAATCTGGAAACAAAAATTCAAGGCCTTACAAGGCCTTGAGTTTATAAAGAAGTGCTTGAAAATCCTTCAATTGTTCTTGCTAGCTAGTGGATATTTTCTCAAATTGTTTGACATTAAGTACTGGGCATTTAGTAGCCTGCGTAGCAGGCGGTATTCGCGGGCACGAGAGAACGGGAAGCTAGAAATACCGCCTGCCCGAAAACTACACATTCTGAGTTCTCCGGCAGCTGGGTGACGGAGCATTCTGATTGGTCAGAAGGTTGATTTTGAATTTTTGATTGACAGGAGTAAAGAATTAGAATAATTAGTGCTAATTTTAGAAGTTATACTGTTGCCGTATTGATACCGATATATCGAGTGATGGCATACACTGACGAAAAAATAACGAATGTATTAATTGAGAATTAAGCGTTGAATTCTTCAATCTTTATCTGGAATTGGTCATCCCATCGTCTTGAAGAATGAACAACGAATATCAATCCAACATTTGTTGCTTGATAGAGATGTGTTACCGTGATAAAAGTGCAGATTTGAAGATACAGGCTCGTAAATGACACTCTATAAGTAGTGTTTTTGATAGCGATTGGAACAAGACTATTACAAAGAAGTTATGTCCGAAGGGGCCGAAGTCATGTTCGGCGAAATGTATGGCTAGTCCATATTTTTGTTCAGACAATTGCGTATAATTTGATAATATACGAACTCGCTTGACTTCCAAAGCTCATAAATCGCTATAATGTTGACATCGACTAAAACTATCGCTATGAATGAGGACATATTGTTACACTGAATCGAACGTGGTATTTTTGTCTTCATAGGATTGAATGAACTGAAGATATGAAGCGCCAAAGCCGTATATTTGCACTGGTGCTGTGTTGCAATACGTGAGTTTGACAAAGATTAAAATACATTACAGTAAGATGGGCGGAACCATGCGTTCGGTGGGCGGAACTCAGAATGTGTAGTTTTTGGGCAGGCGGTATTTCTAGCTTCCCGTTCTCTCGTACCCGCGAATACCGCCTGCTACGCAGGCTAGCTCAATTAACTTTGTCTTACTTGAAAGAACTTTTAAAGTTGCATATGAAGACCCTTTACAACTTTTTCGTACCTCGCTTGGTTTTCGAAATATTTTGACCAAAAACATGCAGTGTGCAGTTCGCCATCTTGGTATTATTATAATTGACCTAATTAACTGAGTTTTTTATGACGTCACAAGCAGGGTAAATTTGTTAAAACTTTATCATGTGCAAGTAAATTTCTTCGAAAAGTTTCTTGAAATGTTGCGAGTTAATTGAGTTTTAAAAAGACTTTGGAAAATCGAGTTTCATATTGATAATGACATGTGGTTTGCAAGATACAAATTTCGCTTTTTACCAGTTTACCCTACTTGTGACGTATGCATATCGAATGCATATCCAAGATGGTGGAATGCACGCTGTTCTTTCAAATAAGACAAACTTAATTTATATTGCCATGTCCCTTTAAACACAGTGATAGGAACTGTTTAGTTAGGTAACTGTAGTACAAATATTGTAAGTTCTTTCGTATTGGCTCACAATTGTGATGAATAATAAAACGACTACACTTTATTAACCCATTGAGGGGCAGCACTCTCTCCCTGACGAATAAAATCGTTTGGCATTAGACAAAGTAAAATAATAAAGTAGGGCGCATCTGGGCGCATTGCCACGTAAAGGGTTGATGATTACAGTAACATAACAAACGAAATCCATCATCTTTGTGAAATGATAACTATTTTTGTAAAATTCAGTCAATTTAGATCCAATTCGTTTGCGAATTCAGTGCTTTAGAAAACGGCTGAAATGCAGTCCTGGAGCTTCAAAAATGTAAACATTTGGGGGGGGGACCCCAGACCCCCGCTTTCGTCGAAAACTTACTAACTTAGTATGACAGTGGAAATATATAATTACACTTCAGGTAAATTTTTAACATTGAAGTTTAAATTTCAGGTAAAATCCTCCGACCCCCCCTCTACCCCCAACCAACCTCGTACCCAGGATCAAAGAAAGATCCTGGGTACGAGGTTGCCCCCTCCAACTTCAGATGTTTCGCTATGTCCCTGCATCCGACAGGGAGTAGCCTTCCTTGGGAGTCCGACTGTATCTTTAATTTCCTTGCCCGAGTTCGTCCAGACGAACACGCCTGAGTTAGAACTGTGACATCTGTTTTTTAGTATGCTCATATTCCTGGACGTCAAGTGGTTTCGACTTGGTCTGAAACTGGTAAGGTTCATATCTGGGACATTTCACAACAATTCATCCAAGTTAACGATGAGAACTCTGCGACGAAAACAACTTCAGAGAATAAGCCATTGTACACGTTCACAGGACATCAGGTAAATTTCTTTTCTCGTTGTAAAGTAAAATTAGGGCTGTTAATCGTCGTTTGTTGCAGCCTGAATACCTGAGGATGCAGTCAAATGTCTACCACCCTAAATAAATCTGCTTTCCCATACATTTTCTGCTTTTCGAATAGCGATTAGCGGAACTTCTACTGTTAGTATACATGTCGATTTCTTGAAACGATTTAATTGATTTGTGAGCTCACGAGAAAATACTCAGAATGCTTTAGTTAAATATCGTGGTTGAATATGTAAACATGTCGAGGTTGTTATAAACAGCCATATCTTCAAATGTACTGTACTTTAACAAGCAAATTTACTGTACTGTGCTACAGCAACTGTCCATTCACGCATGCATGATTAAAAGCTGATATAAACTTTATAAACAAAAGACTGAAATACATGCATGCAGATTCGGCTATCTCAAATAATAGTAATGTTGGGGTAGTAGCGTTGCAGACTGCAGAGGAGAGTGGGCAGTAAGGCTCCCTCATGCACCACCCCCATTGAAAACCTGCACCCCTCCTTGCAGATGAGGCTAGATCAGCCCAGGATAGTCATCAATCATGAGTAACCCCCACCCTCAACCTACTGTACCAAATTTAACTTGGCAATAAGATATATTAATGTGCGACTAACCATTAATATGATTTTTGGTATGTGTAATATTTGGGTCATTCGAAGAAGAAATGTAATATATCTTTATAATAAAAAATCCTATCTTGATCAACTTTTTCACTGTCAAAGTTTCCGGATATGATATCATTAGGTGAATTTTCAAATTAGTTTTCCTTTGTTTTTTGTACCAAAAATTCACCAAATGACATCATATCTGGAACTTTGACAATGAAAAAGTTGATCATGATGAGGTTTTTTACTATAAAGATACATTACATTTCTTCTCTGAACCCAAATATTACCCATACCAAAAACTATATTTGGGGTTAGTCGCACTGTAATGTGAAATATCTTTTTGTAGACGGAAGGGTTTGCAATGGACTGGTCAAGAACCGTTCCTGGCAGGTAAACATTTTAAAATTGTATGCGGTGGCTGTCTAGATAGTTTTGGTTGATTTCACTAAACATTATCGTGCGGCAGATTGTGGTCAGACCTGCAGTTATCCGAGTATTTAGTATAGTTATCATGTATTTCGTTTATTATGTTAATTAACAATGATTCGCCGAAGGCGAGGTGATTATCAGTGAATAAAAACCGAGACGAAGTCGACGTTTTTATTCACGATAATCACCGAGCCTGAAATGAACATTGAATAATTGTTTTAGTATAATTTGATAGGTGATTATTTGGGAAAAAATAAAAAATACACGTTTCTTCGCCATTTATTTTAGGTTATATTTCAAAGATTCTCAGTGCACTGAAATAATGTTTTCTGTTAAATATAGCATGACATCTAGTTTGACAGCTTAATGTCACACATGCAGTTACAGTGGCCAAGTGGCCATTTACTTATTTGCAGAAAATTTTCAATGTTCTCTTGCGGTCCCAGGAAGTGAAATATTTTTTCCACCCCGGTCAGTTAATCGTTTTATTATTCATCACAATTGTGATGGCTTACGGGGCACTCCATACAGAACTTACAAAGTTTGTACTACTGTTACGCTGGGTTTGTACTATGTTAAACAGTACCTTTTACAGTGTTTGCGTGAAGAGTACTTCCCAAGTAATTTAGAAAAAAGATCCGTGCTTTATATAAACAGTGAAACTACGAATACATCCGGTAAGACAGAGGCTAAAGTTTTCTACACAGGCAAAATATGTAAAGACTGTACAAAACAAACTACTAAGCTAGATCAGTAATGAACAATGCATGCAACTTGTTAAACCTTTTGTCCCTTTATGGAATTGTATTATACGTTTCTATATATTATATACCGATTAAATTGTTCATTGTGAATAGAAATCTAAGCGTCCGACTTGTCAATGTGCATGTTCTGACCATAGATATCTTATATACACTAGATAGTGCATCTAATTATTCTACAATTCAAAAATTGAAGCCGTGATTGCAGACTCGAGATATTACCATGAAATGAGAAGATTCGTATGTTTTCTATTTCTTAAACACGGAACTTAAATATTAAGTTAAATTTATTCCAAATACATTTTTAAACTATTCAAATGACGAAAGTTATTGTTGTTTTTTAAGCGTTTATTAGCGAGTGGGGGAAACACCAACATGGCCGCCATCTATTCAAAAGGGGGTAACCGCTGGAATATTCTTGGCTTCAATTTTACTTAAAGAGATGCGCTATCTAGTCTATATATAAGATATCTATGGTTCTGACATTTTCAGGTTTGCCAATCCACTTCTCAAAAAATACAGTTCGAGTTAACCGGGTAAATTTGACCAAGGGAAAATGAAATTTGTTCGAGTTAAGCGAGTTCGGTTTATCTGGAGTATTTTTCTATTTGAAGAGAAATAAATAGAAATGAGAGATGTTCCTCCTTTAAGCGTCAACATTTCTGACGTTGACCGCGCTGTACTGACCTGGAGCGCGTTCTGAAACCCATGCAATGTAAATGTTGCACCAACAAGTGGACGTCAAAACGTTTATACCGCGTTTAATTTCCAGGTTGCTCACTGGAGATTGTAATAAAAATATCCATTTATGGAACCCTACTGAGGAAGGTTCATGGCACGTTGATCAAAGACCATATTCCTCTCATACGCAATCTGTGGAAGATTTACAATGGAGTCCAAACGAAGACACTGTAAGTAAATTTATAGTGGATTAGTTACCCCTTTAAGATAAAATTGTACTGGATATATAGCTGTATCAGTTCTAAACTGTTCTTCCTAGAGGTCCAGTAAGAGTCATCTCTTATTGATCCGATGTTCCTACAGGAGGAAACCTAAACTATAAACTAACTTTATTCATACTGAATAGCTCTATCAGTTCTAAACTGTTCTTCCTAGAGGTTCCAGTAAGTATCATCTCTTATTGATCCACTGTTACTACAGGAGGAACCCTAAATTAAACTAACTTTATTTATGCTGGATAGCTCTATCAGTTCTAAACTGTTCTTCCTAGAAGTCCAGTAAGTATCATCTCTTATTGATCCAGTGTTACTACAGGAGGAAACCTAAACTAAACTAACTCTATTTATACTGGATAGCTCTATCAGTTCTAAACTGTTCTTCCTAGAGGTCCAGTAACTGGCAGTAAGTATCATCTCTTATTGATCCAGTGTTACTACAGGAGGAAACCTAAACTAAATTAACTAACTTTATTTATACTGGATAGCTCTATCAGTTCTTAACTGTTCTTCCTAGAGGTCCAGTAAGGATCATCTCTTATTGATCCAGTGTTACTACAGGAGGAAACCTAAACTAAACTAACTTTATTTATACTGGATAGCTCTAATAGTTCTAAACTGTTCTTCATAGAGGTTCCAGTGTCACTACAAGAGGAAACCTAAACTAAACTAACTGTATTTATACTGGATAGCTCTATCGGTTCTAAAATTTTCCTCCTGGAGTTCCAATAAAAGTCATCTCTTATTGATCCGGTGTCGCTTCAAGAGGAAACCTAAACTAAACTAACTTTATACTGGAACTAAAGTGTTCTCCCTAGAGGTCCAGTAAGGACCATCTCTTATACATTGGTTTAACATTATATAAGAAATTCGCTAAATAATGCATTGGATTCAATGGATTTCTTAGCATTATAAACTTATTGATCCAGTAACCTGCGGTGTTTGGTTGAGTCAAACTGATCCTGGAAGCATTCTTTTCACATGTAACTGAAGTGAAATTATAATCCTGCACCGAACAGCATATTACAACGATGTCCCGTCTGAATACTGATATTTCTCTCTCTTTCTAGGTTTTTGCGTCGTGTTCAGTTGACCAAAGTGTCAAAGTTTGGGACATCAGAGCAGCTCCATCTAAAGCCTGTATGTTAACAGCGCATGCTCATGACGCGGACGTGAATGTTATCTCTTGGAGTAGGTACGAGAACAGTACGTGTGGTGTCGTGATCACTAGGCTTGCTTTTCAGGCTGGGAGACCCGGGTCCAATCTTTGGTCGGACCTCTACTCATAGTCTTAAAATAATTGAGGGGGAAGAGCTACCTTTACATTGACATAAGTAAATGGTTAGGCTTTCGCGTTTTCTCGGATAAGGACGTTAAAATCGTAAGGTACCTCGGATCCCCTTTCAATTCAGGGTGTTAGCCAGAAAATAAAGTTTTGTCCGTTAAACGTAAATTGGGAAAGTTTTCTTGACCGATCAAAGTCCTTGTGCAGGAGTAAATAGTGTTTTTTTTCAACGTGTTTCTCCTTAGATGCAAACAACGGTAGCTTGGTTTTTTACATTTCATTTCCGGTGAATGAACACTGAAAAATGCACCGGATGGCACTTCGTTTTGTATATTTCATTTCCGGTGAATGAACACAGATGCACACCGATTACACTTTGTTTTGTACATTTCATTTCAGTGAATACACAGTCACCCAATATGAATGAAACGCGATACATTTTGAGAAAATAGTTAATGGGAAAAAGTAAATAAAAGTTCTTTGATATAATAATATAAAATCAAACGCAATGCACTTTCTCATCAGAAAAAATGAAAATCTTCCAGTAGACCCAGTTGGGAAAGCCCCTTAGCTACTTCAATAGACCTTTCCCCTTATAACCAAAATTTTGATCTGGGCAAGTCTAGACAAATATTTCATCACAGCTTGAAAGAGCATCACAAAATTAGTAATATTCCAAAGTTTCGTTGCGAAATGTTGTAAAATGAGGAAAATAGAGCCTTGCGAAGTTTGCAATTTTCAGTCATTTTGCATTACAAACGGGAAATTAATTGCAGCCCCAACACCCGAATCGGATGTCAATTTCCCGTTTGTAATACAAAATGACTGAAAAACGGCAAACTTCGCAAGGCTATATTATCCGCATTTTACAAGATTTTGCAACAAAACTTTGGAATATTACTAATTTTGTGATGCTCTTTCAAGCTGTGATGAAATTTTTGTCCAGATCGAAATTTAGTTATAAGGAGAAAGGTCCATTGGGAAGAGTCCGTCAAACGGACAGTATGGGCTAGCTAACAACCTGAAATTAGACAATAGCCTGTTGGGAAATCCGCTCACCACTGAGTGAGAAAGTCAATAAATTCAGAATACCATCATATTTTATTCTTCGAAGGCCGGACTCTGGAAAGCATGAGCAGACTACCCTGGATCAGGGGGTTTCGCTGAAGCTGTAGCCTGCACTCAGGTGGTACTGGCTAAAACTTTGACACCAGAAAACCTCTGAACCCAGGGTAGCAGCAGACTTGTAGCAGTACTGTTCCAACAACTTGTCAACAGGATGTGTTCCCAGCTTGTTGACAAGTTGTCAACGGCTTGTTGACAACATGCTACAAGGTTGTTGAGCTCAACAGACTTGTTACAAGTTGTTCCAACAACTTGTTATCGTCCTGCAATTCAATAATTTGTCAACAAGTTGTGAGTGACATTCTTATAACAACTTTATGAAATAATAGCATTGTTACAACTTGTTGACAAGCTTGCTACAAGCTTGTTGCGTTTTTGCGTGTGTAGTCTGGAGTTAGACATAGTAAAGGCAGGCCGCCAGGGTAAAAGTCTACCGCCTTAAATATTTCGTCTCTTCACAGGAAGGAACCTCTCCTAGTCTCTGGTGGCGACGACGGTGTGCTCAAAGTTTGGGATTTGAGACAATTCAAAACGTAAGTATAATTGTTGATCCGGTTTCTGCTAGTTACTTCAAACTCAATTTAATTTCAACTTAATTTTCAATTTTTAATCGAGACAAAAAACCATAGTAATCACACCATTCACAGGAATTTTTTCTACAAAAACATTTATGGTTTTGAAGATGGGAAATAATACTATTCCCATTTGTAAAACCCATCAATGGATGAGGCGAAACCATTAATGGTTTTCTTTTTTAAACTATATTAATGTGGGTTTTATGTCATATTAGCGCAGCTTGAGTGTTTTATATCTGATAAAGTACGGACTGAGAATGTTCTAAATGGCTGGAAAAACGATCCGTCTGATGAGTTCATTGGCGAAGTAATTTTAAAACTAAACGTTGTCTAAGCCGAGAATATCAAAGCTAAAGTTTATGTAAATGAACATGATTTTTTATCACATATAAAACCACCGACACGGTGGTTTTATATGGTGAGTTTTTTAATCATATTAACTTCATCCGTGATTATAGTTTTTACTATGAATGATAAGAATGAGCTTTATTTATATTACATAATGTTAATTGCTGTGAATATTGTTTTGAATATTGCCAACAAAATGTATATTGGTGGCATTTAAATGAAACTCATTAATGGTACCATTAAGGTGGCTCCATACAGATGTAAAGAAACAACAGCGAAAATAACTGGTCTTCACAATGACGCAAAATATTTGCTATCGATGTGAAATGGGGATTTTTTTTGGAAGTAGAAACGCTTGCGTAATCTTTATACTAATTGTGTGATGCTATGATAACAATGTGGCCCAAATTCATTGAATCGTGTATTTTCTGTCGTAGTGGTGAAGCAGTGGCAGTATTCAAGCACCATACGGAAGCTATCACGTCGGTGGAATGGTTGCCAACAGATAATTCCGTTTTTGCTGCATCCGGGTCGGATAACCAAATAACCTTGTGGGATCTGGCGGTCGAGAAAGATGACCAGCAGGGACAACAGGAGAAACCTGTTGATGTACCACCACAATTGCTGTTTATACATATGGTAAGTAAGTGGTAGTGGTGGTCAGATGGTGGTGATGATGATGGTGGTGGTGATGAAACGTATCCCTAACAATTGTTCCTTTTAGAATATCACTATAGCGGGAAATTTGCTAGATTAAGCGTTATGAGCACATAACAATTGGACTTGGCAGAAGCACTAGGGTGTGAGCATGTTATTTCAATAGGAAAAAACATTTAAAGTTACCTAATGCGTCATGACAAGAACGATTTGTTTCGCCATAGTTTTTGCGTATATTTAAACCCCATACTCGGAACACATGTAAATTATGTTGGGTGTTCCGATTTATGAACGGAACAGCAATAAAAAAGGAACAAATTGTTCCTACTTCAATTTGGTTGTTCCGTTTCTAATATGTTCCGCAAAGCGGAACTGATTGAGAACAACTCGTATTAGGAACACTTAATCTGTTCCTTTTCATGGTTCCTTTGCTTAGGAACAAAATGTTCCGCGAAGCGGAACATTAATATTCTTCGACTAGGTTAGCAAACTGGAACAATTTATTATGCACATATTGCTAGCTTCCGTTGTTCCGTTTTATTGTTCTGTTTTATTGTTCCCTGTATTTTAATTTTGCCATTTATTTCGCAAAATAACACATAATATATTGCACTTGGGACTATTTATTTAACGTATAAAATTCATACATCGCATATGCATACTAATGCATGTCGTGTTCACTATAAAAACCAAAGTAATTTGATCGCTAAGCATTTTGTCCAGTTTTTATGTTTGCACGAAGAAAATCTAAAGTAGATTGGAAATCAGTGGACGGTGCGTTTACTAAACAGAGACGATTGCATTTGGTCAAAGACAGAGATGGGTTAGATCATTGTCCAGTAACGGGCTGCGAGCATCCAGGATTTGCAAGTCAAAGAGGTTGTCGTAAACATGTGAAAATAAAACATAGTTGGTATTACTATTTCGACGAGAAGCCCAATGTATCGATCGACCTTTTCGACACTTCACCGTCTGCTGCGAATGGAACTAACGAAAAAGCTTCGAGAACAGTTCCTGGCTGCTCTACAGATAACGAATTTGCTCGTTCGTTTTCGCAGTGGCTTCAAAGCAGCTGTGGCGGGGGCAAGTCTCGTAAACAATCGGACATTTCAGTCACGAGAGCTTTAAAGTTCGTAAAGTTTTGCTGCGACGAGAGTGGCGACGCCGAAGAAGACGTTCTAAGTTCTCCTAATTTGATCGACTACGCCTTGGGATCTCCACAACTGTTAACAAAGTTCGTGGACAGTCTAAAAGAAAAGTGGGGTCTTGGACAATCAGGACAAATATCTTATGTTGCAAGCATTTCAGATCTACTGGATTTTCGCAAATTTAGCCGTCCCCCTGCATCGGTGCTTGAAAATTTCGCCGTTACCGAGGTTTATGTGAAGAGAGCGCGAAAGTGCTTAGCGAAGGGAATGAGATCAAATTGGACAACCGATTTAGACATAGAAACCCTCGAATCGCGTAGAAGTTGGGCAACTCTTTCCGAAGTTCAATCTGTAATTCCATTTCACGTGGAACGTTATGAATCCGTGTTGGAAAACTGTATGGCATGTCCTTCTTCTGTCAAAACTGGTGACGTCACGTTTGCCACCCGATTCGTAGCCGCTTACATGTTCCTGAAAGTAAAAGGCTGTCGTCCTATGACATACCAGCATCTAACCTTGCGAATGTTTGAAAGTGCAAAGAGAAACGAAGGGATGGTTGATCAGAAAATTTTCAAGACGGCTAAAAAGTACGGGTTTGATAGTGTGTACTTTGACGAATGCAGCATCGAGATATTGGAAAAATATATAACGTATATCAGACCCCTTCTTACACCCACTTGCGAGTATGTGTTGGTAAATCGCAATGGTAAACAATTTCAAAAACTTACAGATCTTTTCAGCGTGCTGGTGTTCGAAGCCATCGGAAAGTACATTCATCCGACTAGGTACAGACAAATCATCGAGACAGAAAGTTCCCAGGTTCTGCTACCGAACGAACAGAAATGGATATCTGAAGACCAGAAGCATAGCTCTAACGTTGCGCGTGTACATTATCAAAAGAAACGTTCTCGGGAAGTAGCAATAAGAGGACGTTTGTGCATGCAAAAATTAGTTGAGAACAGTAAGAATTTAGAAATTGAATGCGAAAAGGTAGAGCAGTCATCACAGAGACAAGACCATGTTCGCAAAGATACTGCAACCACTTCGACCCATAAATTGACTAAACGACCTTCAGGTATTCGCTTCACACCTGACGAGGACAATTACATTAGGTTAGGTATTGAAAAATTTGGTTTACGTTGGTCAATGATATTGCGTCATCCAGAATTTAACTTCAATGCATGTCGTGTTCCAAATACTTTACGAAAGAGGGCTGAAGCCTTGAAATTAGTGTGATTGTAAACCATTAAATTGTATATTAAAACGTAAAGCATGATTTTTTATATTTGTATGAAATAAAAGAGAGTATATAACAATTGATACTAATGAATGCAAGTCATGTGTGACAATAGCGTGACTATGTGTTTCAACTTTTCAATGTTTTTTATACACATTCATTTGCTTATATTAAACAAGCACTTATTATAAGAGTTGTCAATAGTAAGAGACAGTTCAAATTTTCTTCAAAACACAGTCTTTGATCCTTTGGAAGTAGCCCGTGGTTGCAATTTTTTTCTAAGTGTAGTTTAAACTATAGTAAAATAGCCCGTGGTTGAAAATATTCTAAGTCTTTTTCAAACGTTCACTTACGAAAGACTTAGAATATTTTCAAACACAATTATCAAATTTTACTATAGTTTATACTACACTTAGAAAAAAAATCACACGGGCTACCAACGCTTGGTAGCCCGAGTGATTTTTTTCTAAGTCTCTACTTAACTTACTCTGTTGAGAAACTGACGGGCTACGGGCTACTCCATACAAATCCTAATAAATTTCACGGGCTACCCTCGGGCTACCACTCGAAATCACGGGCTACCAATAAAGTAGCCCGTGGTTGCAATTTTTTTCTAAGTGTAGTATAAACTATAATAAAATTAGATAAATTGTCGAAAATATTCTAAGTCTTTTGTAAGTGAACATTTAAAAAAGACTTAGAAAAATTTCAACCACGGGCTAACAACGCTTGGTAGCCCGAGATGATTTTTTTTCTAAGTGTAGTATAAACAATAGTAAAATAGCCAGAGGTTGAAATTTTTCTAAGTCTTTTTCAAATGTTCACTTACGAAAGACTTAGAATATTTTCAAACACAATTATCAAATTTTACTATAGTTTATACTACACTTAGAAAAAAAATCACTACGGGCTACCAACGCTTGGTAGCCCGAGCTGATTTTTTTCTAAGTCTCTACTTAACTTACTCTGTTGAGAAACTGACGGGCTACGGGCTACTCCATACAAATCTTAATAAATTTCACGGGCTACCCTCGGGCTACCACTCAAAATCACGGGCTACCAATATAAGTAGCCCGTGGTTGCAATTTTTTTCTAAGTGTAGTATAAACTATAATAAAATTAGATAAATTGTCGAAAATATTCTAAGTCTTTTGTAAGTGAAAATTTAAAAAAGACTTAGAAAAATTTCAACCACGGGCTAGCAACGCTTGGTAGCCCGAGGTGATTTTTTTCTAAGTGTAGTATAAACTATAATAAAATTAGATAAAGTCTTTTTTAAATGTTCACTTACAAAAGACTTAGAATATTTTCGACAATTTATCTAATTTTATTATAGTTTATACTACACTTAGAAAAAAAAATCACCTCGGGCTACCAACGCTTGGTAGCCCGTGGTTGAAATTTTTCTAAGTGTAGTATAAACTATAGTAAAATTTGATAAATTGTGTTTGAAAATATTCTTTTCGTAAGTTTTTCGTAAGTGAAAATTTGAAAAAGACTTAGAAAAATTTCAACCTCTGGCTATTTTACTATAGTTTATACTACACTTAGAAAAAAAATCATCTCGGGCTACCAAGCGTTGATAGCCCGTGGTTGAAATTTTTCTAAGTCTTTTTCAAATGTTCACTTACAAAAGACTTAGAATATTTTCGACAATTTATCTAATTTTATTATAGTTTATACTACACTTAGAAAAAAATTGCAACCACGGGCTACTTGTATTGGTAGCCCGTGATTTTGAGTGGTAGCCCGAGGGTAGCCCGTGAAATTTATTAGGATTTGTATGGAGTAGCCCGTAGCCCGTCAGTTTCTCAACAGAGTAAGTTAAGTAGAGACTTAGAAAAAAAATTACCTCGGGCTACCAAGCGTTGGTAGCCCGAGGTTAAAAATGTTTCTAAGTCTTTTTTAAATGTTTACTTACAAAAGACTTAGAATATTTTCGATAATTTATCTAATTTTATTATAGTTTATACTACACTTAGAAAAAAAATCATCTCGGGCTACCAAGCGTTGGTAGCCCGTGGTTGAAATTTTTCTAAGTCTTTTTCAAATGTTCACTTACAAAAGACTTAGAATATTTTCGACAATTTATCTAATTTTATTATAGTTTATACTACACTTAGAAAAAAATTGCAACCACGGGCTACTTGTATTGGTAGCCCGTGATTTTGAGTGGTAGCCCGAGGGTAGCCCGTGAAATTTATTAGGATTTGTATGGAGTAGCCCGTAGCCCGTCAGTTTCTCAACAGAGTAAGTTAAGTAGAGACTTAGAAAAAAAATCACCTCGGGCTACCAAGCGTTGGTAGCCCGAGGTTAAAAATGTTTCTAAGTCTTTTTTAAATGTTCACTTACAAAAGACTTAGAATATTTTCGATAATTTATCTAATTTTATTATAGTTTATACTACACTTAGAAAAAAAATCATCTCGGGCTACCAAGCGTTGATAGCCCGTGGTTGAAATTTTTCTAAGTCTTTTTCAAATGTTCACTTACAAAAGACTTAGAATATTTTCGACAATTTATCTAATTTTATTATAGTTTATACTACACTTAGAAAAAAATTGCAACCACGGGCTACTTGTATTGGTAGCCCGTGATTTTGAGTGGTAGCCCGAGGGTAGCCCGTGAAATTTATTAGGATTTGTATGGAGTAGCCCGTCAGTTTCTCAACAGAGTAAGTTAAGTAGAGACTTAGAAAAAAAATCACCTCGGGCTACCAAGCGTTGGTAGCCCGAGGTTAAAAATGTTTCTAAGTCTTTTTTAAATGTTTACTTACAAAAGACTTAGAATATTTTCGATAATTTATCTAATTTTATTATAGTTTATACTACACTTAGAAAAAAAATCATCTCGGGCTACCAAGCGTTGGTAGCCCGTGGTTGAAATTTTTCTAAGTCTTTTTCAAATGTTCACTTACAAAAGACTTAGAATATTTTCGACAATTTATCTAATTTTATTATAGTTTATACTACACTTAGAAAAAAATTGCAACCACGGGCTACTTGTATTGGTAGCCCGTGATTTTGAGTGGTAGCCCGAGGGTAGCCCGTGAAATTTATTAGGATTTGTATGGAGTAGCCCGTAGCCCGTCAGTTTCTCAACAGAGTAAGTTAAGTAGAGACTTAGAAAAAAAATCACCTCGGGCTACCAAGCGTTGGTAGCCCGAGGTTAAAAATGTTTCTAAGTCTTTTTTAAATGTTCACTTACAAAAGACTTAGAAAAATTTTCAACCTTGGGCTACCAACGCTTTTTCAAATGTTCACTTACGAAACACCTACAATATTTTCAAACACAATTTATCAAATTTTACTATAGTTAGAACGACATAATTTTTTAATTTAAATTTTTATGAAAATGCTTTTAGATTTGTTTATATGTATTCATATTTAGAATACAACCACACCTATTTGTTAAAGCACGCGAAAATATATATACATTATTCATTAGCATTTTTGAAACAATACAATATTGACATTGCTGACCTCCATTGTTTCGTACTGATTTGCAACGTTTTAGTTATTTTGCAATTTAACGTTTGTTATGTTGATGTAAATATAACTAAAAGCAAGTCATCTGTTTGCACACATGTAAACACACTTGTTAAAATGACTATATGCAGCACACACTTTTTGTAATTATACAATTACTGCTACAGGGTGTATAGAAAAAAAACAATCCCAACTTTGACACCTTAAAATGTTTTCTTATTCCTATTTATATAAAGATTTAAAAATTTTTGTTTAATTTTTCAACTGGAACATTTCGAAAGGTAGCATTCAAAAGCTAAAAGGGCGAGGTTTATTTGTATGAAAAAAGTGAATGGATAATTTAATTTTATAAACCCTGCATAAGTGATTTAAGGCAGTCCTTGTAAACGCAAGTAAATCATATTACATTATAGGTCAATTGTTTTCACCACGGCATCCATTTTTTTACAACAGTCCAATAAGTTTGAGATGGAACCTCTTCTTTTTCTTCGCTCGTTTCGCCGTCTCTCTCTCGTCTCTGCTTTTCCATCTCCCTTGCAATGGGGCAGCGACTTCTAAGCACTAGAACGTTCGCTTCGTCACGAATACTTTTCAGGTGTGGTAATATTTCTGGATTCTGTTTAACAAAGATGGACACGTCGAATACCTCTCGTTGTCTCCCAGTCATTATCATCCATGCGTCAATCTCTGGATCGGCCTTCGTCCAGAAATGCTGTTCGTCCTTCGTTCTTTTCAGTTTGGCCTTCCGCAGGCGTTCTAGGAAGGAGTGGACGTGAGCTTTTGTCACGGAATTGTGACCGTATTTTATGATCGCTGCCACCTTTCCCATATATTTTTTGCTATTCAGCGTCCAAACAGTTGTTGGCGAAGAGCGAGCCATCTGCAGGCTGGACAGTCCTTCTCCAGAGCTTGACATTTCGTCCTCATTTTCAGGTACTTGGACGGTATCACAACTATTCGACGGCGGTTGCACAGTCTCTGCCTCATTCCTCTCAATGTCCGAGGCTGGTGGATTTTCCCTTGCTTTCGATTGATGCGTGTCAACTTCAGGCAGTTGGTCGCTGCCGCTGGGAGAAGTATTTGACGGCGGTTGGAACGTCTCGGGTTCTTGCGTTTCAGGAACGGTTGGAGGATGTTGTTGCAATTCCTCTGATATTGATTGTGATGTTTCACCTTCTATGTCAACATTTCGACCAATGTCCATTTCTGATTCTGCCGATTCCTCATCGCACGGCGACGTCCGAGCAGCACGTCTCTTTCGTCGTAGTCGCCTGGCTCTTGCTTCGGCTGCGAAGCTTTCGTGAATTGCAGGTGCGGTTTCGTCATCATCTCCATTGTCCTCGCGAAGTAAATCTGCGTGAGATATTAGCTTTAGTTTGGAATGATCGAGCAATGATTCTCCCTCCTTCGCGCTGATCGTAAACGTCGGTGTCCGGGTTTGCTCGTACCATAGCTCGTCCTGTGGCAGGAGATGTCGGTTGTTGTTGATTTCATTGGCGATCCACGCGACACAATCCATGGCATGATCGTAAAGCCATCGGTCAATACCTGTCCGTGTTCGTGGAAGAGATGTGGTGGTAAAAATTGCAATTCTTCGTTTGACATTTTCATCGTCTTTCCCGAAGTCCGGCACTTCATTGGTGGTGATGTAATAGGGACTGTTGTTAAGAATTGTCCTCGGTAAACCGTGCTTCACTGCAGTAACCATCCAGCCTCCTTGCAGGATACACTTGGCCAGGTCGGACTCCATCCTGGTCGCGGACCATTCGTCGACGATAACTAGTTGAGTTTCGTTCGTAATCATTGCCGCAGAAAATTGTCGCTCGTTGGTAAGGGAAGCGATAAAATTGGCGGGTATGAGGCGATGAAAGATGTTGGACCACGAGGTCTTTCCCGAGTCCTTGGGTCCGGCAACAACCAACTTCTTGACTTTGTGTGGCATGTTGAACGCCAACAGACATTGATAGAACTTATTTAGGAACTTGGCACGTACGCCCTCGTCAGAAAAGGAATTTAAGATGCCTTCCTTGAAATACTGTGGCTGCGGAGGAGTGGAGTGATCGTAGGGCACGAAAGATCTTGGGGACACTTTGCCGAGCATTGATGTGGGAATGGGGCAGGGAATGAAGCATCGCGATTTTATGGAAAAGCAGTACCCATTCAACACCTCGATCAGGTCCAGGTCGAAGTCGAGTTGCGGAATTAGTTCGCACGCAGGGTGTGACAGAAACTTTTGGATAATGTGGAAATGTTGCACAAGTTTATCACGCAACTGTTCGTTGGCCATTAGACGATGGAGATAACTCGTCACGTCCATCATATGGACAAAGGTCATCGTAGCTTTGTCTGGTTTTACGTATATTTGAGATTTGTAGAGGCCATGGTTACAGATTTCCATAACTTTCTGGATTTTAAAGATCGTCTTAGTCACGTCGTTGTTGGAAGATGGACATGAGGTGGTGGGGTCAACTACACGCGTTTCAGCCAGATCAACAACGAGACCGTCGGATTCAAGCCTTGCGACAGAAGTGTTTAATTGGTCGCGAAAATCGTTGACATTGTCCACTACAATACAACATGGAACGACGGGAAAACGGACGCATCCGAACTCCAACAGTTCTTCAACTTCGGTGTCATCTTCATCGCTGTCAGACGACCAATCTCGCGCGTTCCTGTAACAGTACACATTGGAAACATCTAACATGTCCTGTATTGTTGGATTATTGTGATCTTTCACTACGTTGAACAGTTGCTTCGCGGCCTTTTCCATGTCGTTGGCTCGAACTCGGATAGGTGTTATTTCCGGTTCCATGTCTTCCCTGTGAAGGGCTGAGAACAGGATCTCCTCGCTGCACGTTTCGCATTCCTTGTATACAATGAAAAAGGCGATGCCGGGGTAGCTTTGTGCTTCTGACTCTTCGTCGGACGTTTGGGCGCTCTTAGCGTTGGACATGACGCACGTGACGCACGAGAAATAAAATTGAACGCCTTGTATGCACGATAACACCTCGTGAAGGCGCAAACGTTTGGACGCTATTTGGAGTCTGGCTAGTTCGATATCGTCCGAGCTGACTTTCCAAACCGCACGACATGCCACTGCTCGAAAATTGTTAGAAATCTATACGGATACAACAATTTGTACAAAATATATATTAGCATTGCGCAATGTTTTGCTGCATTGCTATTAAGAAATTCGACCAAAACGGTTGAAATTCATCCATAAACATTGGTTATTGCATTAAAAATACACGTATAGTTATGATAGAAAAAACAATTAGCAAATCTATAAGGTAGATGTATATATGCTATGACCACAAACAGTTAAATATACTAAGATTATAAAACCTACGCACTAAGAATATTAAATCGTTGAACACACAATAGCTTTACGCGTGAATGGCATTAAACATATTACACCTACCAAGTTTAGAATGTTGGAACGAAGAGAGTTCTTCAATCTAGTTGAGTCCAAAGACTTTCTTGGCTTAGGGGGCATAACGATGTAACCAGCGTAAGGAACTTGTTAGCGTTAGGTGGTGTTTAGGTCTATTTTTGTTTGAAGCGATCGTGTTATTTATATACGTTTGCGTTGTCATGCATGAGAGGAACAATATTTTGTACTTTGGTGATGGTGATGGTGATGGTGATGATGATGATGATGACGATGACGATGATGGTGATGGTGATGGTGGTGATGGTGATGGTGGTGACGGTGATGGTAATGATGGTGATGGTGGTGGCGGTGGTGGTGGATAAACAAATATTATTCAGATTTTGTCTTGTTTTACTCTAGGTTTCTCAAGTTGCAGCCCACACTCTTAGCTACGGCTTGACTGTTGATCAGATCTCAATTCGGCCTGCAACAAGTTTTCTCAATCCAAACGGTATTTTAATATCTAAAACTCTCTTTCTCTTAGTTTGTTGTCGCTTTATAGACCCATTTGGCTAAAGTTTGTTTACAGTTACCCATTACCCAATTCACAACTTTACATAACTGGCATGCCTAGTTACTATTGTTCTAGTTATACAGAAGCATAAAACAAAACACATGTATTATCTACACGAATCAATATAACTCCCAATAGTCAGTATATACAGTACAAATAATTCGCCATGTTGCGATGGCAACAGTGATATTTTCAAAACCGAGTTCTAAATGTTCCACTGATGTTGTAGCCTATATTGCCTCCAAGTTGAAACAAATGCACGATCTGCATCAATAGCTGTGTATACTGCGACGATGTTCGGCAAATAGACACAACTATAGGGAGCATCTTTAACTCGTTCTGATAGAACTGGTCATTGACAATTTTTCCTGGTTTAGTGTTTGAATTTATTTGTTTCCTAATAATTGCTTCTTAAAAGCCTCTGATTTGTTATAAAGTATATCCACATTAAGTACCAAACAAGAGATTACTGCGTATGTACAATAAGGGGCAGAAAGGTGACTGTAAAATATTCCAGAAACTTAGCGTACGTGCTAAACAGCTACAGTATATTCGGCAGTCAGCTTCCTGAAAAGATGATTACATTCGCTACTCCCGTCATCTTTAGTAAACAAATCCGATAAACGATCTCTTGAAATGACGTTTTCCTTTTACAGGTGCTGTAACTGGGGGAAGTATAACAAGCGAATTATGCTGTGAGGTGATGTATATTTACAAACTTTCTTACATGTACTTGTATACTATGCTTTAGCTTATTATTTAAACTATAATTCTAATCCGTGCATGCACCTTTGCTGCTTCTTCCTGATCAAAAATGGTTCGTACGGTGGGAACTATATTTATTTTTTGTCATCAATAACCGTTTCGCCTCTCGTTCTTGGTCTATATCGCATGATAGTCCTTGTCACAGGAATTGACTGTCTCATTGTATGAATTGTTGTTAGTAGTCAAATTGTTAACTGTTTATTCTATTGGTTGTGTACGTATTTTGTTTGGAAAGGTGCATGGGTATTGTACTATGCCCGTTCGCACCTCTTCCATTTGGGTGCATTCTTATGTGCATGTTGTATTTGTCCTAAATTTTTTAAACTGCTCATTTACCCAATACAATTATCTTACTTATTTAACCTTGCAAGCTCTTGAGTTCACGTTTGAGCTATACGTTCTTTGGCAACTCGGCACACACCTTATACGACACTTGTTTAATTTAAATTGACTCCTTATCAAAACGTTCTATTTGCTATGCGTCTAATTACTATTAGGCCGTTTGCTGTGACCTCCAAAAGTGCCTAGAAAACGATCTTCATTTCCCATGTCCATGAACTGAAATATTTTTACGGGAACTAACACTTTCGAACACGCTGAAATCCGAAAAGTTCCCGCTCTATAGACCTGCAGTTTTCTGACAAACTTCAATTTTGTCTTTACTAATTTCACGACAATTGTTTTCATTGCTCAACGACACGGGTTGATGACGACAAACGAGTCTTACGGCTATGCTCTGGGCTGAGAAACAAGGCAGGGGCGAGGGTACTAATTCTGTTCGGCTATTTACACCCGGGAAAAGGAACGCACTAGCCAAGTCTAAAGTTCATTAAATATCGCGGGCGCGGTTCATAGGTGTATGAGTGGCAGTGAACTCTAATAAGACTGGAACGATAACTCAGGTAAACATGCCCTTACTTGCCTGAAGCCAACCGTGCAAGGAAATTGCACTTTTAAAAGGACTAAGGAGAGTTTCGAGGAGGTTTTATATTTTCGACGAAAATGAGCAAGAAAAGTCGTTTTTCATCAAAAGACTTCAATTTTAAAACCCCAAATACGATTTATTTGATAGTTAGAACTGCTTTGCATCCTACAACAGCAAAAGTTTGAAGGGTATCCAGGTTTGTTTTCATAAAAACAACACTAGTTGAACGTGCCGAAGTGAACTTTGCTCTTTAATTTAAAAAAAATCTTTAAAACTTAAGTCTACGGACCAATACCTTTTTTGTATTATCGTCTAGGTATAGTTGTTTATTTTAAGTGCTTTTTGACTTCTCTAAAACGTGAATAGATCGATTTTTCCGTAGAAATCCCCCATGATTTGTGATTTGGCGCTCGGGAGAAGTTCGCGCGCTGTGACTTTCAAAAAAGAACTGAGGAGAGTTAAATTTCCTCGTAATTTTGGGTTTTTTAGCAAAAATACGCCGAAAAACTAGGTTCTTCGTCCGAATATTTCAATTTCAAAGATTAAAACTTGGTTTTCTGGATTGTTCTAAGTATTCAACATCCACTAACAGCAAAATCTCGAAAGGAACCATTTTTGTATTCAAGAAAATAAGAAAATATTTTCCGTGCCGAACAAAATACGACTTTCAGGTACACAAAAAATAACGTTAAGTCTTTTCTACGGCTTCCAAACATGATTTTTGCAATAGTCCAAGTATCGTAGATGTTTTTAAGTTTTTTATCTATATTCTAGCATAGCTAGAAAGGCAGAATCCGAGTTTTTCGAAGAGGTGTATTTTCGCCGCCGTACCTCCAATGGCGGCCTTCAATTTGGCTTCAAAGATGGCGGCCGAGTTATCGTTCCAGTCTTATTAGAGTTCACTGATGGGTGGTCATCTCACTGATCTCAAAATATGGATGTTTGCCCGGAGTGAAGAAGGGGGGAAATATAAAAAATACATGCAAGAAAGCTTGCAAAATCGTTTCACATAACAAATTGTAAAACTTTTTTTCAATTTTTAAACGCAAACATTCATGACTAACATGACGTGAGCACTCGGGCCTGCGTTTAGTGCTGGCGTAATTGCGAATATACCTCATGTTAAAACAATGTTTGGAGAATATAGGCGAGGGGTATTGCCTGCATGTATTTCTAGTATTTTCCCCTTCTTCGTTCCTGGAAAACAGCCATATTTTCAGATCAATGAGATAACCACCCATACACCATACACCCTCGATATTTGATTAACTTTCAACTTCGCTAGTGCGTTCCTTTTCCCCGGGTGTAAATAGAACTGCTACCCTCGCCACGGGCTTACGCCTGAAACGGCGCTTGGCGCCGTTGGCTCGGGGATAAATTTCTTGATCGTTATTACTCCTGTAGGCTGTCATAAATTGCTGCAATATGCTCAAGGAAAGGATCTTGCCGATTGCAAAAGATATGCCAGAAGCAACATGGGCGGAAATTATTGACAAATGTTATGGACTTGGCGTTGACTTGTCTGCTAAATACATGTATGTATAGCTTGCTTTGTAATGACGGATAGAGATACCGGGCAGAAAGCGTAAATCCCCTGATAGCAAATAGCATCATATAGGCAGCCCAATAGCTAGGCTTGTTAAATATTTGACTGAAATATAAAAACTTTTAATTAAAAGAGTTTTTATAAGTTATTAATAGTTTGAATTTTTTAGTCAAACATTTAAGAGGCAGTCTCTGTAAAAACCTCATGACTTCTTTGGATCAAGAAATAGATTTCTCTCATTTGTAGTTGAGATTGCCTTTATAAGCTAAGGGTTCATTTTGTTCTCAGTCTAATTGCATCCTGTCATCTCGACAGTACATCAAAGAAAAAAAACAGAAAAAAAACTAAATCCTTCCACACAATAGTAGCTTTATATGTCTAAAGTAACAAGGGTAAATAATGTCAGCCACTCGGCGCGTTTGTTTACATTTTATGTCCTTGACCAATCAGAATGCCTAAAATTCGAAAACAAAAGGAGTAAGAAAATAACATATTGTTGTACTCCCTTCGTTGCCATTCGATATTTATTCCAAAACTGACAAATTCTGATAAAGTGTACTTTATTCTTTATTCAGTTTATCTCAAACTTTGCAGTTGAGATTGGCTTTATAAGGGTTGTTTCAAAATGCATTTTGTCTAATTGCATTTGGCAAAGTTTCAGGGGGTCAAGTTGAGGGATGAAATTATGATTTTTGCTGTTTCTCAACAGTGGATTTTAACTGATTTTTAAACTCTGCACATCAAACTAAAATAATGATAAAACTAAATCCTTCCACACAATAGTAGCTTTTTATGTCTTAAGTAACAAGGTTTGAATAAATTTTTCAAATATGTTTTCTAAATATAGAAATGACATCATTCATCACCCTCGTGAACAGTTCGTTAGAAAAAATAAGCATTTGGCGAAGGTCTGACAATCGGATATGTAATGAGTCATGCCCTACTGTTCATACATACCGAGAAAATTAAAGAATAAAGTACACTTTATCAGAATTTGTCAGTTTTGGAATAAATATCGAATGGCAACGAAGGGCGTACAACAATGTGTTATTTTCTTACTCCTTTTGTTTTCGAATTTCAGGCATTCTGATTGGTCAAGGACGTAAAATGTAAACAAACGCGCTGGTTGGCTGACATTAATTACCCTTGTTACTTTAGACATATAAAGCTACTATTGTGTGTAAGGATTTATTTTTTTTGTTTTGTTTTTTCTTTGATGTACTGTCGAGATTACAGGATGCAATTAGACTGAGAACAAAATGAACCCTTAGCTTATAAAGGCAATCTCAACTACAAATGAGAGAAATCTATTTCTTGATCCAAAGAGGACATGAGGATTTTACAGAGACTGCCTCTTAATACAGCTATTGCATGGGCTGCCTAAACGATAGCATTGAAGCCGGACTTAAACTAGTACATCTAAAGTACAGTATATCCATCTTCGCATGGAAACTTGAGAAACTCAGGAAGTTTGTATTGTAATTCTATTTTCCCAAAGTCGCTTGACCATCATCTGCTGTATGTTGCACTCTATAAAAGCACCCTGATTAAAATGTCCTGGCTAA